AGCCCCGTGTCCCCCGCCCCCGTCTCGGGTGCCACGGCGAGCGGGGCTTTCATGGGAGACTTTGCCCCCGCTGGGGCCTGGATGGATCGGGATGTGGGAACCGTGTTCGGCCGCGCGCGTGGAGGCGGGGGGATTCCGAAGCGAGCGACCTGCGGGCCGACTGGCGGCCCACCCCCACCCCCACCCCCCAAAGCCGGGCGTCCCGGGGCCCCCCGCCGGCCTTGGCAGCGGGATGTGGGAACCGTGTTCGGCCGCGCGCGTGGAGGCGGGGGGATTCCGAAGCGAGCGACCTGCGGGCCGACTAGGGGCCCACCCCCACCCCCACCCCCACCCACCCTGCTTTCCTGACCGGTTCCCTTAGCCTGTCAGCGCGGGGCTGGGGGGAGGAAGGAGACACAGAGCCAGGAGGGGACAGGAGGGTCCCTGGGAGGCGGGCACAGTTCCCCCGCGCATGCTCAGCAGCCCAGCTCTGCGGTGCTGTCCCTACTAACCCAGTTCCGCAGCTTCTGCCTCGCACTCTATCCCCCTGGGCAGGGGCGATCTGGGCTGCAGGTCGCAAGGCCAACGGAAGGCACAGCACAGACTGCGGCACACAGGTCGCGGGTGGGCTTGGCCGAGCTGCAGAGCTGCCCTGCCAGCCTCTTCCTCTTGGGGTGCAGGCTCTGCTCAACCCCAGTGCTATGAGGACAGCTCCTCCCATCACCTCTGGACAGGACCTGCAGGGGAAGTCACCATGGGGAGCCTGGGTCTCCACACCTGTGAGATCCGCCCTCCTGAGCCCATCACCGCGGGGGCACGTGACCCTTCTGGGAGCCAGCACCAAACCTCAGCCTGCCCCAGCTCCATGAGACCTGAAGCCCCTCGCCCCCGGCTCAGCCCGCCCCATGCCCGGGGGCCCCATGTGCGGCCACTAACCAGGCATTCTCTGTGCCCCGGCTGCCTGGGCCTGACACCCGCGCACCTCCACCCGGGTGTCCGTCCATGCAGGCCCGGAACCAGCCCCAGAGCAGCCGTGCCGTGCAACAGGGGCGGGGGTTGATAACAAGACTCCTGTGCCTAATGATCTCTTTACCCCCAGTCAATTAATGTTCTTCCAACTGCTTTTGTTACCGGTAGTTTAATAATCACTAATTATTCAGTACATTCACAGACTTTGAATGTCTCACAATCCTCTATTTAATTAAGTATTAAATTTTAAAACTCCAACTGCAGCTGCCTTTTGGCGTAGCGGGTGTGACGGAGCACCGGCAGCCACCGGGAAGCGAGGTCCTTCCGTGTCTGTCGCTACCCCCGCCTCCTTCCTGCACTGAGCCTTGAAGGACCCACGCATGTCCCCAGGGCCCTGGGGGGCTCTGGATGCAACCAGTGTGGGGACATGGCACACCCCGCAGTCAGAGGGATGCCCAACGAAGAAGGGGCCCCACATTTGTACTGAGCTCTGTAAGGGGTGGGCAGATGACTAGAGGATCCCCTCCTGCCCCACTGTCTGGGTCCCTGTCCCCGTCCCCACTTGTAGGGTAGCTGTGGGCAAGGCCTTGACAGAGAAGCCCGGCCCCCACTCTTATGAGCAAGGAAGCAGAGTTGGGGCCAGCTGGGTGTGGGGGCACAGGGAGACCTCAGGAAACTGCCCAAAGGAGCACTGAGGTCCTCAGAAGCCGGCTGCCGGCGCCATCTGTCCCGGAAGGGCGATGGCAATGTGGAGAGGGACCCAGGGTAGCTTGTGTGCCCGAGTGGACAGCACCTCATGCTCACTGGGCCACGTGGGGGCCGAGCAGCCCATCAAGGTCTCTCAGAGGGCCACAGGGCCACCAGGGCAGGCATAGGTGTCCCCAGAGGTGAGGTGCTACCTGCCCTGGGGGAAGCCCACCAGTCTGGGGGTCCGAGAAGCCTGGGTCCCTAAGGGGAGGTGGCCCGGCGGGAGACACCAAGAGGACAGTGACGCAGGATTCTGTCTGCTGAAGAGAACCAGGAGGGGACTGCCCCACGTCACCCCCTGGGGACCCCTAGGAAACCCAGCTCTCACCACCAGCCCCCACAGGCAGCCTGGGTGCACAGGAGGGGAGACTGAGGCAAGCTCACCGGAGCCAAGCAAAGCCACCAAGAAAAAGGTGGCTCCCATGCTGGGGTCCCTGGTGCCTCGTCTGAGGCTGTGCCAGGGTCCGTGGCTGCGGCCACATGGGGCCACCAAGTGTGACGAGGCAGCTGCTCAGGGCCCCTGCCTGGAGCAGGAGGAAACTTGAGGCAGATGCCCCAGCAGTGCAGCTCCACTGAAATCCCCCAGAACATGGGAATGTGTCCCCCCACCCCATGACCCCACCAGTGCCGGCCTCCAAAGGGCATGGACACACCTGGTTCCAGCCCAGTGAGCACCTGGGAGGGTCCACACCACAGTCCCTGTCACAAGGTGGCCCACGTCCCGTCAGTCTCCCGGGTCTGGCAGAGAAGAAGCTGCACGGGGCAGGGCCAAGCTGAGGCCAGTGATGCCCAAGGTCGCCTGACTCTGGATGGAGGGGCCACGGTCACCCACAGGGCTGGGGGACAGACACGGGGCAGCCCCGATTGATGAGGGGAGGGTGGAAACAGAGTTGAGTGAAGGGACAGAAGGGGCAGCCTCCAGGGGGCTTCCACACATTGGAAGCAGGGTCTGGGACCTGGGGGTGTAGGCCCAAGACACAGCTCGGACACAGGGTGGGCGGGGCATCCCTAAAGCTGTGCGGCTGGGCTGAGACCCACCCTGGGGTCCACCCAGGCAGATACTGGCCTCGGGTGGTCAGTGGCATGCCCTTTTCCACTGGAGGATGCTGGTCCCCACCCTTGCAGACCAGGCCAGCCCTGTCCACAGCCCACAGGAGGGAAGACCCCATCCCACAGTGGGGACACCTCTATGACACACTGCCAGCCACCCATGAGCTGCCCTCTGGGGCGCAGGTCTCCCACACCCCTGGACAGCTCCCCCACAGAGACGTGGCCAAGAACATACGGCTGTGCCCCATCCACGTCCTGGACTCAACAGTCCCTGGGGTGTGCATGCAGAGACCCTGTGGCCCCTGCCTGCTGCTCCGGGTGACATGGGCCCCCAAGCACCCAGCAGCCTCTGGTCTTGAGGTGCCCTGGTGCAGCAGGCCCTCTGGGTTGGGGGCACAGGCACCTGAAGTGTCCTCCCGAGTGGGAGCTGCAGGGCCCCCAGGCCCCAGCCATGCCAGTGCTGCACCATCCTGGGCTGAAAGCTCGCTGGGGGCTCACCAAGTGCCCATGGACAGACATTCACACATACACACCGGGGCACACTGGGACACGCGGACACCTACACACACACACATACTTTCTCACAGACAGCTCCATGTGCACCCTAACACACTCATGCACACACACACACATGCACCACACCATGCACACACAGACACCTCCACACACACACAGACACACGTGTATAACACCACATGTATATACATGCAGATACCTGTGCACAGACAAACACGTCCACACACACTTGTGCACGGCCATCTCCACTCTTACACAGAGAACACACACTCATGTGGAACACCTCCACAGGCACAGGCACACATTTGTGCAAGACACCTCCATACACATTTACACTCATGCCAACACCACAATGTGCACACCCGTGTAGACACCTCTACATGCGCACACACACTGTGCACACACAGACACCTACACACACAAGTGTGACCTGTCCACAGCACAGCTAGGGACTTGTGCCCCGGGTCTGCGGGCCTCGCCCCACCCTCCTGCAGGAGCCCGGCGCGGCCCTGAGCGGCCCTGCGCATGCTCGGTGCCGGGGTGCAGAGGCGGGACAGGAGGACCCGCCTGGCCCCGAGAGGAGGAATCACTCACTGCCCCTACAGTCCGGTGCAGCCACACACCGCTCAGTGTATTCACGGGTGGGCCACTGCCCACACACCCGCAGGCAGCAGGTGCCTCTTGCCCCACTGAGGGGGCCCCGTCCCCAAAGCATCTCATGGCCAGGATGGGGGGCCACAGCCCCTCACCCCCAGTTTGCTTGCATCTGGGTTCAGGTGCTCATCAGAGCTGCCGGCCGAGTCCCGGGAGGGCAGGGAGGTGACAGTCACGGCCGTCTCACGGACCTCCACACGCAGCCCCTGCCACACTGAACTTGGTCACACCTGCCTTGGGGACAAGGAGACCTGGGCCCACCCCACACCCTCAGACGGGTGGCCGGCACCGGGGAACAGCATGGAGACCGATACTTGGTTCTGTTTGCTGTTGTTCCTGCAGGTCAGGACACCACCCCAAAGGGGCAGGGACCTGTCTGCCCTGCCACCACAGCCACCAGCACAGCACTGCGCCGGGCCCTCCTTTCCCACCTGCGGGTCCGATCCCGCCCCTCTTTAGGTCAGGTGCGTGTGCCACCCTGCTTAGAAGACTCGTTAAACTGGGTGTGGTGGTGCAGGCCTGTGATCCCAGCACGCTGGGAGGCTAAGGCAGGAGGACTGCATAACCTGGGCAACTCAAAGACTTAGCAAGACCTCGTCTCAAAATAAAAATGAAAATTAAAACCAAAAAGGAAGAGCCGAGGATGTCTCAGGTCCAACCTCTAGCACCACAAAGGTAAGACTCGGTTACATTCCATTCTGGAAAGGCAGCACGCGCCTGTAATCGGAACTACTGGGAGGGTCACAAGTTTTACAAAAGGGCTGGGACGCAGCTCAGAGAAGGCCCCAGGCTAAGGCAGCACGCTTCGGCCGGCCACAGGGCCAGGACTCCGCTGGCAGCAGCCCCGCGCCACCTGAGGCTGGAAGTGGCGGCTCCTCCCTGGCCGCAGGCCTGTGACGCAGGACGGCAGCGGTGCTCTCCAGCTCCAGGACCGAGAGGCCGCAGACCCGGGATGAGGAGGCCGGTAGGGCCCCTCCGGCACCGGCCAGGAGTGAACATGTGTCCCTCAGGCCCCTCACCACAGCTTGTGCCCAGAGGCCCCGACCGCACCCCGCCCCACTGGCCCGTGAGACAGGCGCACCTACCTCTGGCTGACAGCTTCTTGGTGTTGATGATCTTGGCAGCATATTCGTGGCCGGTGCAGAGCTTGACGCAGCGGCGGACCACAGAGAAAGCCCCCCTAGGCAGGAAATCGGGGAGGGGGACAGAGACAGACAGGGAGAGAGCCGATTAATTTCCTGCACTCAGAGGCCCATCCCTCTCCAGCCCCCCTCAGCCATGGGCACCATGTTCGGGTTCAGCTGGACTCAGGGTCCACGCCAAGGTGCTCATGCCAAGTCCACAGACCCAGTGAGTGCTCGCCAGAGGGAGCTTGGTTGGGTCCAGAGTTTAAGTGGGTGGGATTTGGTGCAACTGGACACGGGGACTCACAGATGGTGTTAGAGGGAGGGAGAAGCTCGCGTAATTCAGCTGCAGAGAAAGAGGAAAGGGTCCCGAACTGTCCTCGTGTCACGCAGAGGCAGGGAGGGCCGGGGTGGGGCTGAAGGGACATCCATTCACCCGCAGACCGTGCCCGCATGAGCCCAGGTGTGGGGGTTAAAAGACACAGGCCACCGAGGGGCCCTGGATGAGGTCTAGGCAGCTGGCCGCCCGGGTGCACCCTCTGACCTCCACCCCCACACCCCCAGAGGGCCCGACCTCCCCGCCCAGCACTAGGAAACCCTCAGAGTCCAGGCAGGGACCCAGACAGGAAGAGCGTCTGAGCAGGAAATGCCTCTTTCCTCACTGCAATTCTCTGAGACAAAGCCATGTAGGAGATGGACTATTTGATTTCTTGGAAAAATAATGATGTCCAGCTGGGTAGTCCCTTTACGCCAGAGGTCATTCTGACCAGTTACCGTACACTCAGCTGCTCCCTGGCTGTCTTCCCCCACCCCCATGGTACTAAGGGCTGGACCCAGGGCCTTTGCACTGAGCTATATCCCCAACCCTTTTGTATTTTTTCTTTTGAGACAAGGTCTTTCTGAGTTGCTAAGCTCCCCAAGATGAGATCCTTATTGCAAATTTGGCATCCTCCTGCCTCATCCTCTGAGAGTGGTGGGATTATAGGTAGGTGCGAGTGTGCCTGTCTTTGCTTCCTGAAGTTGGTGGTGAATGGGAAGGGCTTCCTCGCAGGTGCTGCCGGGTGCCGGCCTGCGCCTGCTGTTTGACTTGGTCATGGAGCCCATTAAGCACAGACTTAAAATACCCCGTAAGAAAAACTAAAGGAGGACTACCAGGGAGACAGCTCAGCCGCACAGAGCCTGCCTGGCAACGCAAGATCCTGAGTTTGATTTCTGGAACAAAAAAGAAAAATAAAAGGGAAGAACTACTGGTTTTGAGACCTTGCACTGCCCTGGGAGACAGGATGGGGAGGGCAGATGCTTCATCTTGGTCTAATTTCAATGTTTGTCTGTCACCTCCAGGGCACACGGCTCTCCCGGCCTCGGGGGGCCCCCACTGCCCTGCACTCCCCACCCCCTCAGCTGGCATACGCACCGGTCGTGAGCCCGGACCCAAATCCCCAGGAGGGCTGACCCTCGGGAGGTCGCACAGTGGCCCAGTGGCCCACCTGACCGCCCAGGCTGGCGGTGCCCGACGGGGAGCCCGTCCCGCAGCAGGGCGGCACCTGCCCACCTCGCCACGGGAGAGGCACAAGCACGTTTAGCACAAGCAGAGCAGGCCCCGACCTCTCCAAGGTCTCCAAGAACAGAGGGACCAGCTCCAGCACTGTGCCCGGTCAGGACTCAGCTCCCGCCCACCACAGAATTCACCGTCACGGGAGACAACATGGCCGGTCCCTGCCGCCACAGGCCAACTCCTAGGCATCTGTGGAGACCCCATGCAAATAGCAGGCTCTCTAAAGGAGCACCGCCCCTCACCCCCGCCCGGCCTCAGGTGCCCGCTGCTTTAACACAGTTATGCATTTGCCTGTTCCTGCCCCTGCCCTCTATACATGCCCACTCTGGAGCCTGGTGGCAGCCTGGTGTACAGGAGTCAGAAGGGACCTGAACAGGACAAGTGACCCGAGGGCAGGAGGAATCCGAGGAGACCCCCGAGGGTCCAGGTTGATGGCACCACCGAAGCCGGAGGTGGGGGGATTTGTTCAGATCATGAGGACCCGGGAGTGGGGCTGTACGATCCAACAAAGCTAATGCAGAGGAAGCTCTCTGAGCCTGTTTCACTCGCAGCGGGATCTACGGTGCCAGGGAGGCGTCCGGACAGTGCCAGGAGCAGTTACGTCTGTGCAGGATCTGACAGGTGCGTGGGGGGGACAGGACCGCAGGGACCCTGCTCACCTTCCTTCCTCGCCTCCCCTCAGAGGTTCCAGGAGCCTCACCTCTGAGTGACCCCCAAAGTAGCCCCCAGAGCCTCCTTCTGCGGCCATCTGTGGCTCCACTGTCCAGCTGTCCCCAGAGCCTGTCACCCAACCTTTCCACGACGACCCACAGGACTCGCTCCAGGCCGCGCCTGGGACTGCAGCGGCAGGGGAGGGCGGGGGCGGCCGCTCAGGGTCCTCTGGCCTGCACCTTCGTTCTGGTGGGGACGAGTGCCAGGGAGCCTGCTCTGCCGCCCTCCTCTGCTGCGCCAGTGGCTGGGACTTCATCGGTGAGGGGACAATGACTGCCCCCCCACTCACTCCAAGGTCACACTTGGAGAGGTCACCCAGCGGCTCACGTGACCTCCCAGGCCACCGGAAGCACCTGTGTCAGTGCCCAGGGCGGCGTGGCCCCGGGAAGCTGAGCTGAGTACACTCACCGCGCCCAAGGCTGGGATGCCACCTCCTCTGGGCCATGTCCACATGGGCGCTTCCTCCTTGGGAACTCAGGGATTTTCTGCCCCCCTCGCCCCCCGGTGGCCTGACCAGGGTCTCTCCCAGCTCCAGCCAGGAGGGCTCTCACCATCTGCACAACCTAACCTGACAAGTCTGGTCTCTGAGACACCTCTGCTTGCTGGATGATGTGAAGCCACTTGCCGCGATGGCCCAGGGTCGTGCCAGGGACCCTGCCCACCCTCAGAAAGGCCACTGGCCAGGCCAGGGCTCAAAGGTGCCCAGGGCCCTTGAGGAAAAGCAAAGACGCAACCTCCTGACGGCGGTGTACATGCACATTTCCCACGCGGCTCTGCAAGGCCCCGCGAGGACCAGGGCTGTCCCACGGGGCGAGCGCAGCCCCGCCCTACGGCCCTAGGCCGAGGGGTACCGGTTTTGTTCCCTGCTGTGCATCACTATGCGGCTCCTCTGGGATGGCGTGGGCACCCTGTCCACTCTGGCTGGTCAGCCCAGGCGGGGAAATAGGTGCTTTTAAAAAAAACTTAACCACGTTGCTATTTGTGTGTTAGCTTTAAAAAAATAAAATTTTCCTACCTCTGATTATAACAAGCTCTGGGGGAATGAAGTGGGAGAAGGCTTTTTGTATTTTAGTAGTTATTTATTATTATTATTATTATTATTATCATTATTATTAGTACTACAGTACTGGGAATTAGACCTAAGGCTGTCATACTGTGGGTACATCCCCACCTCTTTTTGTTTTTATTTTGAGACAGGGACTCACGAAGTCACTAAGTTCCCCAGGTTGGGATCAAACTCACGATGCTCCTGCCTCAGCCTCCCATATCGCTGGGGTTACAGGTGTGCACCACCACATCTGGTATATTTCTTTGTTTATTTAGAGATGAGGTCTTGCTATGGTCATGCCCAGGCCACCCCAAAATTCCCAGGCTCATGCAATCCTCCCGCCTCAGCCTCCAGAGTAGCTAGGGAGACAGTGAGTGATCTTCTAGATCTTAACACTGACGCAAGCAATCTGCTGGGAACAAACTTCTATGTGACACCACGGGCTGCGCTGCGGTGGGGTATTTTCTGTGCTTTTCTGTCTATAACACACAGAAGCACGACCCGTGCCCGTCACGGATGGACTGTGCCTCTGTGACTCCTGGGTCCAAGGCGTCTGCGTGGGACGCACCGGCGACCTGAGGACCACAGCGAAGTTGCTGTCACATTCTCACCCTGAGGGACCACTGGCGAGCGCCCTGCTGTCACCCTGCAGGTGACGGGTGTCTTCTCACGCAATCAGAATCCTTGTGGCTCTTTCCCAGCTATTTCCCCTCAGATTTCTCCAGGCTCTGACCCCTGACTGCCCCATGGGAGCAGAAGGGGCAGGCAGGAGCAACCCCCACAGGAGGCTGCTGCGCTGCCATCACTCACCTTCTAGGAGGCTGAGGCAGGAAGATATCAAGTTCTAGCCCAGCCTGGCCAACTTAGCAAGATCCTGTCTCAAATTTTTAAAAAAGAACCTTGGGTTCTTTCTGAAGGCATTGGGTTCCATCCCCAGTACTGGAAAAAAAAGTGCACTCCCTTATCTTTGTACACGTGTAATGCCGCACGCTGTGTCACTGTCACATGGGGTCCTCTGCATTCTCTGCCTGGTTCCCCCTTTTTTGATGACAACCACACGGCCTCATCCTGACCTCATTAACTCTGCAACCACCGTTTCCCCCAATAGGGTCGTGGTGTAAAGTACTGGGGGTCAGGGCTCCACACACAGGTAGGGGGGCACGACTCAGCCATAACAGTGCCGGCCTCCAGTTCTGCTTGGGGAGTCTGCCACTGCCTGCAGTAGAGAAACAGTCCCCAAATTACAGTCACCCAAAGCCAGCTCCTCTGGATGCAGCAGATGTTAGGTACCAGAGGGGTTTTCTGGGCAAACCATCAGGGACCCTGACGGTGACGTGTCATTTCTGTCCTTCCCTTCGTGCTGCAGAACCTCCCAGGGCCTTCAGCTTGGCCACCTGTGCCGTGGGTGGCCGCGGGGTGTGAGTGTGGTACAGCCACCCCTGCTTTTCTATGGACACAGAAACCTTTGTTCAGATGCGCGTCCGGAGGGCTGGACCTTCTCGGGGCTGAGCACCGACCCCCTCCCAAAGCCCTGTGTGACCCAGGGAACCCACAACACATCAGGGCAGCACCATCTGTCTGTTTGTCCATCCACCCATCCACCATCTGTCTGTTGTCCATCACAGCCCAACCCAGAACGACAGCTGCTGCCCTGGGGCTTGGGCACAGGTCAAAGACAGAGGCTCACCAGGGCAGAGCTGGCGGCCCCGCCACCCCAGTTCCTGAGAGCAGGCAGTGCCAGGGTCCTGTGCTTGCTGTCACAGAGCCCCAGACCCGCCGTCTGCGCCCCTTTCTGCCGCTCGTGTCCCACACTGAGCAGCGTCGCTGGGTGAATCTAGAAAGAAGCTCCTGAGACAGTGCTGTCCTCGCGCTCCTGACGCACCGCAGGGCAGCAGAGCTGTTCCTGGATGCCGGATGGGGACCGTGGAGCAGTGACGGAGGGGACCCTTCCGCCCCCGAACCAGAGCAGGTCCCGTGACCTGACTGTGGCACAGAGCCCCGGGGCTCCTCCCCTGAGCTGGCCATCGACACAGGATGGGGAGCAGCACGACGTGAGCCCGCATCCAGACGCTGCAGGACTCCACAGCCCCGACACCCACAGCTGGGGCCTGTGGGCAGCCCAGGACCGCAGCTCCGCGCCTTCCCTCCCGCACCGGCAGGAACCAGGAACGAAACCAGTCTCGGCCTCTCCTCCAGGCCCGCCTTGCCCCACAGTGATGCGGTGACACCAGAGGTTTCTGTCCACCCTCACAGTAGAAAAGAGGAACAGAGTGGAGACGGGGCCAGGGCACAGGGCCCTGGGCTTCGGCCACTGACAAAGCCGAGCGAGGTGCGCAGGAGCAGGAGGGCTGCTGAGGCACGCGCTCGGATTCTCTGTGAGACCCTGCGGCGCAGGCGGCCCTGCCTGGCACTTGCCCTGTGCAACCCTGGCTCCTGGCCATTGCTCCGTTCCCTGCCAGGCTCCTGGCGACCCGGAATCCCCCTCCCCCGGAGACACCATCGCCTGGTGGGCTGGGCTGAGTTTCTGGTCCTTGGGACCATGGCAGGAGGAAGCACCAAGCCCCTTTATACCAACAAGAGGCTGAGGCTGACGCCCTCAGCTGCTCTGCTCCAGGTGCAAGGCACCAAGGGCTGCGGACAGCAGCACACGGGGCAGGCTCCCCCGGAGCAGCAGGGCGCCATGCAGGGGGAGGGGAGAGGGGGCACGTGGGGTCCACTGCACACTGCCGTGTCCACGCCCCTGGATCCTGCATTCTCTGTCCCACCTGGGGCGTGGAACACGGAGGACAGAGGCCCGGGTCCAGAGAATCTGAGCAGAGTGGGAGGATGGTGGCTGAGACCCAGAGCATTCAGGGAACCCTGGGCTTGCACCCCGAGGCCACCCGCATGGTGGGGTCAATGACACCCCTGCCCGGTTGTGTGTGGGGGCAGCGGGTGCCAACCCCCTGCCCCGCCCCAAGAGCGAGCTCTGCGCAGCTTTCTGTGAAGACTGGAAGGTGAGCAGCGACCTGCGGACCTCTTCTCTGCTCCGCCCCCACACCAAGCCTGGTGTCTGCATTCCTGCCTCACAGACAAGCAGCACACAGCGGTTATCTGTGCTCCTGGGGCCGTCAGAGGACCGAGGTGACAGGACACTGCGCCCAGAATTGGGGGGACAGACAAATACAGGGCACACAGCACCCCCACAGCAGTGCAGGCAGAAAATCTGAACTTTAGGGCAGACTGTTGGAGGCTGGTGACAAGGCCGAGGTACGACTGCAGGGCACTCAGCTGGCCCACTGGGGGCGTCCACGAGCAAGGGTTCACCTCCAGGACCCCACTCGGAGATAACCCAGGGCTTCAGGCAGAAGGGCAGAAGTATTTCTTTTTTTGTTTTGTTTTTTGAAATCACACATTTGCACTACAGAATGATCACATTCGGGAAGGGAGTTGGCACGTGTCCATAACACGGATTAATTCTTCTTATTTCCCCTCCCCCTCTCCTCCTCCCTGATCGCTCCACCTCTAGATTCCCTCTCCCTCCATCTCTAGATCTCTTGGCCAGTTGCCAAAGATCTGTCTTCCCATTTGCCAAAGATCTATCTCCCTGTTTCATATTATCTGTCTTTTATTTTGCTCTTTAAATTATTTACACTTTGGGTTTCTCATATAAGGGAAGCTATGCAATATTGAAGCTTGGGTGTCTGATTTATTTCACTTAATATTATGGTCTCAAGGTGCATCCTACAAAAGAGTCAAGTTTATCCTTCTTTATGGCAGAGTAGTACTCTTGTTTATCAAATGAATTATAAAGAAATTGTGGTATTCATTTTTAAATACAGTGGTAACTCAGTTCACAGACTTAATTCTCTCAACAATTTTGGTTACAAACCAAACTGGTCATGAACCAAAAAAATTCAATGTTGGTTATATTCAGTGTTGTCCTTACAGGGAAATTTGATTTGGTTCTGGTCCAATTAGGTTTGTGACCGGAATCATAGAAAGAAGTCTGTAAACCGAGGTACCACTACACACCAGAGCATTCTGTTCTTCTAAACAAAGACTTCCTCAGGAAATGCTCATTAATCAGAACCAGTACACCAAGAAGGAAAACACTTAACCTCAGCCCCTCCCAGTTGTCCACAGAAGGGGAGGAGGAGAGAGACTGAGTCACACATACAAAGCCACAGCCTGATGGCATAGGCCTACTAACACACTGACACTGACCA